CAAAAAAAGAGCCACTTCCTGTCATCAAGATGCCACTGGGGTTCATGTGCCCTCTCTGTGGTCATATCAGCAGGATAAACAGATGTCAGGAGCATCTGAACCCTGGGCTGTTCTTAGCTCTCTTACCTTGATGATAGAAACAGTTATCATGAGAAGTAACAGAACTTCAACTGTAGAACGAAGGGGAGCGAACATCCCCTGGCAGCTGGGCTGCTGGCCGGGCCTGCAGACCTCTCTCCCTCCTCTCAGGTGCTTGGCTTCCCTCAGACCTCCCTCCACAGGCACAGCAGGACCTCCAGAGCCAGTGGACAACAGGCCAGACCCCATAGGACCTACTAAGAGTTTATATGAGACGATACTTCATTGCTTGCTTTTATGTTTAGAATATCCCCCCTCTTTTTATTTGATGTTCCCAACAGGTGACCTAGGGATGACTGGAGGGCCTTGAAAATCCAGTCTGGGAGTTGCATTTAAATCAATATTCAGCACTGGAGGGTCATCAGGATGCCACCAGGATGCGGGTCACCAGGACGTGGGTCACCAGGACGCGGGTCAGGGGCAGACCGTGTAAGTGGGATGGGAGTGTGGAAGTGCAGAGTGCTGGCTCCAGGAGGACAGTCACACTTGGATTTGAGCTGCAGATTGTCATTAGGTGGTAAGTACCAAGTGATGAGGGCTCACGATGAACAAACTTGGAAAGAGCAGGGGCCAGAGGAGCAGCAGGTTGTGTGATGGGGGAGATGGAGCAGACACAGCAGATGGTCCATCAGAGTCTGCAGGCCCAGGCCAGCCAGCCGCTGTCCACAGCCCACCGCACAGCTCAGCTGGCACACAGACACTCCGGCCCGCAGTGAGGAAGTCCAGTGCTCTTGGTGACCTTACCGGGATGCAGGCTTGGGTAGGACCTCCATCTGGTTCCCTGGGGCTCTGGCTTGCCTACCCCTCCCCTGCCCACCTCATCCTCCCCTGCAGGCCTCCCCTTCCCCTGCCCACCTCCCAGCTGCATCTCCTGGCCCCAGTGCAGCAGGAGGAAGCATTTGCCTCTAAACGAGAAGTTTCAGTGGTAGAACTACCATCAACCAATCTTGAATGACTTCACGGATGTCCCCCTCCTTATCATACTTTTGAGGAACCTACTTATGTAAATCCTAAATAACATATTTATGCCCCAAGGAGGTGGGGAGAGCGGGGCAGAGGGTTTGGAGGAGCTGAGTGGCAGCTCCTGGGGGTCTGCCTCCTGCGAAGGACATGGTGGGACAGAACTCCTGGCAGCTGGCTGCCAGCCTGTGACTGTTTGGGGGAGCCAGTTCCTGAAATGGTGAAGCCTGTCCCTGCCTCCAGTACCCCCCTAGCCCCACCGTGCACTTCCTGTTTTATGTGCCCTTTCCTTGCAATTAGAGCTCCTTACGGAGATAATCAGGAGCCAACTCACAGGAATGTTCCAAGGACTCAGGTGTCTCGTCCAGAGCGCTGCCCGCAGGGCGGCTTGTGGCGAGGAGGGACTCCACATGCCAGTCAGTGTTCTCAGGACACTTTATCTCCCGTCCTGTGTGCAAATAAATGCAAAGCAGACCAATGACAAAGAAATGGGCATCTAAAGCCGAGTCAGGGGCTTCCTTAGGGGTGAGCCACAGAAAAGGGGGGCAGGTGTTTCAGCTCAAGCATGCCCACACTTCCCAGCTGCCCCGGGGACTGCAGCTGCTTGTAGGTTTCCACTCTCAGCTTTGATCTCCAAAAGGGAAACTGGCCCTGGCAGCACAGGAGGGCTGCTCACCAGGACAGGGGTGCCCTGCCCAGCTGCACAACAGGCTGCCTGACAGGGGGTGGCAATGGAGGAACCTCGGCCTGGCGCTCTGGCAGGCTGTCCTCTGGAGCAGAAGTTGCCAACCTTTCAGACCTCATGGTCCCCCGGCTGCCGACCGCTACTCTGAGTACCTAGAGCGGGGCCAGGGGAGGAACCGTCATGTGGAGGATCTAAGGTCGGAACTGCAGAATGATGGTTAGAAATTGCAGCTGCAGTGTGACTGGCCCAGGACCATGGGGCACAACCAGTGGCTCTGCAGCATGGAAGGTGAGCCCAGTGAGCCCAGTACCAGGAAGGCTGGGGAGAGCTGGAGCCCAGTGTGTGTGGGGAGTTGGGGGAGGGGAGGCCACAAGGAGAACACAGGCAGGAAGGAAGACTAGCTGTGCCTTCCAAACAATAAAGCCAGGGACCCAGTGGTCCAGGAGCTGTGGTGTCCAGAAGAGCTCTGCAGGAGGGAGGTGGGGTGGTGCTGGGCCAGCTTTCCTGGGACTACAGCGGAGACAGCTGAGGCCCAGATGTGATCTATAGTTTGCTTGAAACTGCCTCTGACCTGAGGCTTTGTTTCCTAAGATTGTTGGCTCACTGTCCTGAGCACTGAGTAGATGCCTAGGAAGGAAGTGGGCGAGGTGGGTGTGGGATGAGGAGGGTTTGAACAAAGGGGGAAGGAGAAAAGGTTGCATTAAAGAAATGCGCTGTCTTTGCGGTTACACATGCCAAGGCCCTGAGGCACAAAATCTGAGTCTGTGTGACTAGAGCAAAGAAGTGGAGGGCAGAGCGGCCTGGACGAGGCGGGGCAGTGCCAGAAGGCAGGGCCAGGCCTGAGGCCTGTGCCAGGGTTGACGCTGAGGCCTGGTCTGGGAGCAAGAACCTGGGAGGGAGCTGGAAGGTCAGTGCTCCAATTATGTGTTGAGGCCCATTCCCTGGAAGCTCACTCAGGCTTGTAGACCTTCCGTTTCTTGTTAGGAAATGAGAAAAGCACTCTTCCGCTGGCCACTTTTCCCTTGTCTCAGAAGCTGCCTGTGGCTCCTGTGTGCCCTCCGGCCCTCGGCCTGACAAGAGCTGGTGGGAGCCGTCCATCTTCCAAGAGGCTGGTCTCTTAGTTCACCCCTCCTGTAATCACTCCCCACTCCACCTGGGCGCCATGGCGCTCAAACAGTGAAGCTTACCCCGACCGCGCCACCTCCAGAGGTGCCGGTCCCAGGGCCTGGCTCAGACACCAGCTTCCCGGCCTCTGGGTGCTCGTTCTGAAAGGGCGAGATGTATGCCCTCCACCTTGCCCCAGGGTAAGGGCTACGCCCTCCACCTTGCCCCAGGGTAAGGGCTATGCCCTCCATCTTACCTTGGCCATGTGCTCAGCAAGGCTTCTTCCTGGAAGCCAAGCCGCTGCTGGCCACACCCAGGACTTCTTTGAACTGGCCAATGACAATCAAGAGAAGTAGCCATAGATATGACCACATCCTGTGTGACAAGACACAAACT